CTCAGAAGATTTGGGGCATTGGCTGAGGGAACTAAAACTGGCAGGAGCTTGGGGAGTCACCCACTTCACCACTGGGAATGAAACATGAATTTTTGGCCATGCCCCCCAGCGTAAAGGCTGAGTTCCCACCACTCTCTCTTCTGACTCTGCTGAGAAAATGCCTCTTGAGGTGCTGGGATCTGAGCAGGGAGAAGGCCCCTCTCCCCAAAGGAACAAAGAAGCAAGGCCTCAAACCTACTCCACTGGCCTACTTCCCCCTGCCACAGTCTGATCCTCCTCCTCCCTTGTCCTCCCCCTTCCCCCCACAGCGGCCAGACTCCTTCTGAGTGTCCTCGGAGCTCTCCACACAGACCAGCTGTAATGGGATGGGTCTATCTGGGCAAGAGTCCAACCTCAGATCCATCACAGGGCAAGTGAAGAGCGGCTTGTTGATGGACAGACGGAAGTCCCGCCCTCCCGCAGCCCCTTCCCATGTGTTGGTAGCTCTGCCCTTTCATCATTTGGGCCAAATTGTGAGTCCCATGGCCAGGCCAGCAGCTCTCCTCTACCTGTTGCAGTAAACACCCCTCTGCTGCCCCATGCCCCCATCCAGAGTCTGCTCTGACAGCCAGTTCTCAACCCAGAGGCCAGAGGGAAGTGTCAGCGGGTGCTAGAAATAAGACCGCGCTCCTGCTGCTCATCCCCTCCCCCTGCCACGGCTCCCTCCCTCCATCAGCGTCACGACCACCTCCTGGACCTGCTGCTGCCCCTGCTTTGTTTCCTCCATCACACCCACCACATTCTAAATACTATGCTGGAAGTGGTGTGCCCGTGGAGTCCGCTGCCACTCACAGCGACCCTGGATCGGGTTTCCGAGGCTATAAATCTTTACGGGAGCACCGGGTTCGCGCCCAGCTCATAGCTTACCGTGCTAACCCTTTTTAACTGCCCCCCTGCGGCAGAAGTGCCTGATGCCAGGCCTTTGCCCAGCTTTGCCCCTAGAAGACGAACTGCGTGTAGTAGGTGCTCAGTAAGCGTGTGGGGCTGGTCACACAATTCGATGCTTTCCCCAGCGGGCCGGCCGTCCTAGGTCCTGTTCGGCCCTTGAGGGTCTCTTGTGTGGGGGACATAGAGCCCCTGAGTGGCAGTGCTGGGCCAGGTGGAAAACGTGATGTCATAAATTTTCCAGTGGCACACACGGGTTAGAACCCGGTTCCACTGACAATGCTGCCAGCCATCGGAAGCGCTCTGGGAGGCCCTCCGGAAGGCGGCTCCGGGTTGGTGCCTGGGGATGGGAGGGTCAGTGGCGGCCGCGGAACCTTCCTTTTGGTTCCTGGTAGAAAATGGTGACTCAGCCTTCAGGCTGTTTCGTGCTCTGGAAAATTCCTGCTGCTGGGAGGGGGCCGGTGGAGGGAAGCTCCTAGGAACACCCCCAGCTAGGCTCCGGGCCAGCCCCACCCCGCCCACGCCGGCCCCCACCTTACTGGGCACGTGGTCGGTCCCCGTTTCTGGGAGGTAAAGTTGAAGTCTGGAGGGGTCCTTGTTTTGCTCCAGAGTTGAGCAGCACGTGGAGCCCCCCCCCCTCCCCGGGCAGCAGGTAAGCTTTAGGGCAGGGAGGGGGGACGGGCAGGCTCCTTCCAGAGACCCGGGGTGCCCGAGGCAGTTAGGGTCTGCAGGGCTGGGGGCCCAGGAGCAAAGACCCCGCCCCACCACCCCACCGTGGCAAGAAGGCGAGGCCAGAGCGTCGGCCGGGTCTGCGGCGGAACGGGTGGGGTCAGGTCGCTCAGCCGAGGGCGGACCCGAAAGTGGGCTGTGTGCCTGGGTGGGCTAAAGGTGCTTTTCTGGATCCTTCCATCCCCGCCACCCCCTGACCGACAGGGAGGCGCCCCGCAACCTGTCGGGTACCGAAAGCGCCGTCCCTGACTCTAAAGGCCGTGTTCCTGGCGCTTGGAACCTTCGCCAAGAGCCTGTCTGGCACGGGGTTTTTCTAGAAAATGTCCCTGTCGCTGGCCTTCAGCCGCCGGTCTGACTCACCGTGAAGACCATGCGGAGCCTCCGGCTGGCGCGGAGGGCCGTGGTTGCCCTGTCCGGCCGGAGCGGCCCCTGGCGGCCCCCAACCCACTCGGTTTCCGCGGGGGTGCGGTCCGGGGCGGGGCCTGGGCGCCCTGGATTCCACTGGGCTGCTTCACGTCCTGGAGGTGACTCGGGGTCTCTGTGAACGTTGTGGGCACTTCCCTGCCCCTGGTGCCCACCGCTGGCTGACGCCATCGCGCCTTTCTGAGCTCTAATAACTAGCCCCCCACTGGCCTTCTGCCCCCCTGGGGCCTCTGTGGTCCTTGTGGAATAGAGTCCGCCACAAACCTCTTCTTGCCCTGCAGAGTCCACCAGCTCGGCTGCTCCGAGCTCTGCTCTTGTGAGCTTGTGACTGGCAGCCATAACCCTCTGGGGGCAGGAGGGGGACACAGTGGGCTCTGTCTAGATCCGGATCTTAGATCTTAGCTGCTGGGGCAGGTCAGATCACCTGCAGAAGGTGCTGTAAGTATGTGGGTCACTGGGGACTCCCAGGGAGAAGTCACTGTGCAGTGTACCCACTCCCAGATCCCCCCCCCCCCGGGAAGATCAAACACGGAGCCCAACCACTGCCTTCCTGGAGCTCACCTCCGAACCCCTAGCCCAGGAAGACAGGGTGTTGTGAAGCACCCTTGAATTGGTTCTGACTTATAGCAACCCTGTATAGGGTTTCAGTGCGTGGCTGGTGGGTTTGAACCACTTACCAGTGGTAGGCAAGGAGCTCTGGTAGCGTTGTTGTTAAGTACCGTCAAGTCGGTTCCGACCCATAGCGACCCTGTACAGGGCTGGTAGCGTAGTGGTTACGAATTGGGCTGTGAACCACAAGGTCAGCAGTTTGAAACTACCAGCTGTTCTGCAGGAAAAAGATGAGGCTTTCTGGTCCTATAAAGATTAACAGCCTCGGAACCAAGTCCACGGCACTTAACAACCACCACCTGTGGTTAGCAGTCCAATGCTTACCCAACAGCGAGGGATTGTCATACCGTGAGGGGGTGTGGTTTTGCACTGAGCCCCTTGTTTGGAGAACCAAGGAGCAGGAATGGGCTCTGTTTGGGGTGTGGGGGGTGTCAGACTCTGTAGCCCCTAAGCTGCTGGGAGTGGTCCTGAACTGGGAATCCAGAGTTTTGGGGTGACCACGCCCTGGGCTCCTGGGAGGGTGTTGTTGGGGCGGAGCTGGTTCTGCTCACCGCTAGGGTGGGGGCCAGACAAGCTCGGGTTCCTCCCTAGGACAGCTGTGTGACTGGTGAGTTTTGGACACCTTGCCTCAGTTTCCTCAGCAGGCATGTGAAGTCCACAGTCAGTGTGGCCTCTGGGTCGGAGCCCCCACGTGGGGAAGATAGAAGGGCTGTGTGGAATTGGAATTGGAGGGACTGTGGAAAGGAGGGATATTGCAGCAGAGGGTTGTGGGTACAAACCTGGGGTGAAAAGGTGGATGTGGTGTGGGAGGTGAGTTTAGGTCTTGGGTTCTAGGGCTGGACCATCCGGCAGGGTCTTGGCCACTCCAGAAGGGAGGCCCCAAAGCTGTCTGTATAGCAGGGTACGCAGGAAGAGATTGTGGGGAGGGGAGGTAGGTGGCCATGGTGAGTGGTGGGCTCCACCGCCGCCCCCCACACCACTCTTGGGTTTGAGGGCTGCCTGGCTTGGATGCGTTTGTTCCCCTGGTGTGCCGAGTGCTGCTCATGAGCTGAGAGGGGGTCCTGGCTTAGGTGGGGCCTGGTGGGGGTGGGAGGACACGGGACAGGCTGCCCTTCCGAAGGGGCAAAGTCTCCCTGAGCGCTGGCAACAGCAGCCCACCCCAGGGCCATGCGCAGCCCTCAAGGTGACTGACGTAGCATGTGCTGGCTCCCCCTTTCAGTGCCTCTCTGTCCACGCCCCTCCTGCCTCACGGTTCCGGCTCCCAGGCAGGACCTGGGCTGCAAGGCTTGGCCTTGGAGCCACTTCCCAGACCTCGTGTCCACCTGCTGCGCTGGCATGTCCCTTCTGACCACTGGGTCCCCGTCCCCTGACCCAGCTCAGTTGTGCTCTGGGGTTCTAGGAAGTTGTGGAGCCTGCTCTCAGGCGCCCCCTCCCTGAGGCCTCTCCTGGGGCTGGATCCCCCTCCCAAGGCCTCTGTTCTGTGTTACAGCCCCAGTAGTTTAAGATTGAACAGGCTGTGTCTCCCTTACGGCCACATAGGGAACCTGCTGGTGGGGTGGGGGTGAGGACGAGATGGGGACAAGGAGGTGGGGTATCTGAGGGGATGTCGTGGGCCAGCCCTGGTGCCCTTTCTAAAGGGCAGCTCTGATGCAGTCCCTGTGCACTCCTCTCTTCTGGGGCCTTCCTACCTGCCTGACCCCCTCCTGGCTGGCCACCTTTCCCCGGAGCTCCTGGCTCCCCCAGCCAGAGGCCTCAGCAGGCCAGTGCTCTGAAACTCTGGGCTCCTAGCTTGTCCTTAGTGAAGCCCCAGGGCCTGTGACCTGCCCTGTCCTTTGCCCCTGGCCCTGGGTCCACACTCTTCTGGACTCTGCCTTGCCTGTTTCCTCCTGTCCAGAGCCTGTGACTGGTGCCCACAGGAGCCATCTGTCCACCCACTCACTGCCTCCAGCTGGTGAGCTCCCAGGGAGGGTGGTGGACACTGGATGACTGGTACACTCAGCGCACCCTCCCATTCCCAGAACCACAGGCTGGAGCAGGCAAGGCGACGTCCCCAGCTCAGTACTGACCCCTGGTGGGGCCTCTCAGAGCCTGCACCTGTTCCATCCTTGCTGGGCAAATGAGAGGCAGGCCTTTGGCAGAGAGAATCACACCCTGTGGGCGCTCTGTAGAGTGTGGTGGTCAGGGGGCACACAGGTGCTCGCCTTGGGAGGGCTGAGACAAACGCACCTCCAGTGCCTGGGGTCCTGTCCCACCTGAGGGCGCCACTGAGACGCCCCTCTCCCTCCCTTTCCCCAGAGCCCCTGTCCTGTGTTACCATGAACCTGGACATCCAGTGTGAGCAGCTGAGTGATGAGCGGTGGACAGAGCTCCTGCCCCAAATCCGGCAGGTGGAGGTGGTCAGGTAGGCTGCGGGGGGCTGGGCTCCCATACAGGAAGGACTAGCTGCTCCTTTGGTGCCCCTCATTCCCTGCAGGACTGGCTGCTGTTCCTCAGGGACAGAGGACATGTGCGCTGCCCTAGTCCTGAGCTTTCCGCTTAGAGTCTCTTTGGAAGTAGTTTCAGATGCACAGAGTCCCCGATACTCACATGGGGGATTTCAGGGAGGAGGGCAGCACTGGGCTGACCCATTTAGCCACAGAGTCACACAGTGTCTCCATTGTTTTAGGGGTCGCTAGGTCCCCAAGAGTGGCCGGGGATCATGTTGTCCTGGTTCCCCAGCCTGTAATGGCCTTTTTTCTTGTCCTTGTTTTGGGGGGGGCTGGCAGCTCTTGTATAAATGACCCCTGTTTGGTTTTGTCGGATGTTCCTCCTGGTCAGAATGAGGTCATGGACATGGGTGAGAACCCTCGGGGGCCATAGCACCCCATGCTGACAGCCCCTCCCTTTAGAGTGGTCGCCTGCATCTCCACGGTCACTCACTGTTCTTCCGGGTGGCTTCACTCCTGTCTCGGTTTCCTAGTGGCCCGTCCTGTGTCCTCTGACATACCCCCCCAAGCAGGTTTTGTGTCCATCTCTTTGGAGGTGTGATTTTCTCCTACAGGGAGGCCAGAGCCAACTTGGATTCAGATCTCTAACCAAAGTGTGGGAACCTCCGCACGTTTGGGCATCCCATTCGGTGGCTACGGCTCCCTTGGTTGGTGTCTTGGCCCTGGGGGCTGCCATGCGGCCTGGACACCTCCTGAGCCTCTGGCCGCATTGAGTGTGTCCCGTCCACAGGCTGGACGACTGTGGCCTCACCGAGGGCCGGTGCCAGGACATCAACTCTGCCCTCAAGGCCAACCTGTCCCTGACAGAGCTTGTCCTGGGCAACAACGAGCTGGGTGACACAGGCGTGCACCGGGTACTACAGGGCCTACAAGGCCCAGACGGCAAGATCCGCAAACTGAGGTGAGCGTGGGGCCAGCGGGCCCTTTGGTTACTGCCGCTGCGTGCCACCTCCTGGGGTGGGGGTGAGGGGGAGATTCCAGGACGGAAGGGGTGCAGTGGGGGCATGGCCAGGCGGAGGCCTGGAGCTCAGGGAGTAGGGGCTGGACGCTTGTGCTGCCGGCCTCCGGTGGGTCCCTGCTGACCCCACCCCTCCCCCAGCCTCCAGAACTGCTCACTGACTGCAGCCGGCTGCACGGAGCTACCCCGCGTGCTGCGCTCGCTGCCCACCCTGCGCGAGCTGCATCTCAGCGATAACCCCCTGGGCAATGAGGGGCTGCAGCTGCTCTGCGAGGGGCTCCGGGACCCCCAGTGCCGCCTCGAGAGGGTGCAGTGAGTGCTGGCCGCAAATGCTCGCCCTATGGGTCCCTGGCGCCCCAGAATCCATCTGAACCCGCCAGGGAGGCCCCTTCTCCCAGCTCCCAGAGTAGACAGCAGCCCCTCTCCCGCACGTTCTCCGCCCCCCAATCCTCCCACCCTGTGGGTGATCACCTCCTAATCCCCCCTCACCCCCGCCACAGTGCTCAGTCTGTCTGTCACCTGGGAGGACCAGGGCGGGGGGTGAGGCTGAGTCAGCTGTGACTCACCCACAGTTGGGGCAGCACCCTATGAGACCCGCGGGGAGGGCGGTGGGGCATCTCGGACAGGGCCAAGCTCACCCGTGCCCCCTCCTGGCAGGTTGGAGTTCTGTAACCTGAACGCCCAGGGCTGTGAGATGCTGGCAGGCGTCCTGCAGGCCCGGGCCAGCCTCAAGGAGTTGGTGCTGAGCAACAACGAACTGGGCCAGGCCGGCGTCCAAGCGCTGTGCCGAGGCCTACTGGCTGCTGCTGCTCCGCTGGAAATACTCAAGTAAGTGCCTGACCCTGGGGAGCAGGCAGCTGGTAATTCATCCTGAGCTCTGTGTCCCTTGGGGCCCCTTCCCTAAGGTCAATACCTTCAGTGCCCTGACTGATGGGGCCCACATGTGACTTTGCCCCTTCTTCGATGGGCATTACTTCCTAAAGCCTGCCCCCAGCCTGTGGCTGACAGTGCAGAAATTAACAAGAAAGGTCCCCAAGACTAAGGGATGGAGGGAGCAGGAGAGGAACTCTGGGAGGGAGACTAGCGTGCATTTCAGTGTATGGACAAAGTTTGTGTCCAGGAGAAGGACATCTGTCCCCAGCTGGGATGGAGCCACAGAGCAGGCCCTGGACAAGGGGGGAGTGGACGCCCGTGTCCTGTGTCTCCAGGCTGTCCAGTTGTGGTGTCACAGCGGCCAACTGCAAGGAGCTCTGCAGCATTGTGGCCACCAAGCACTGCCTGCGGGAACTGGACCTAGGGGACAACCAGCTGGGGGATGAGGGCTTGGCCACCCTGTGCCCTGGGCTGCTGAGCCCCAGCTCCAGGCTCCGGACCCTGTGGTGAGTCAGCGTCAGAGAGGCAGCCAGGGAGGGGCCGTGGTGGGGGGCCAGGTGGAGGCGCACCGTGGTAACTCTCACCCCTGCAGGATTTGGGAGTGTGGCTTCTCTGCCGAGGGGTGCAAGTCGCTGAGCGGGATCCTGCGGGCCAAGGAGAGCTTAAGGGAGCTCAGCTTGGCGGGCAACGAGCTGGGGGACCAGGGTGCAAAGCTGCTGTGTGAGGCCCTGCGGGAGCCGGCCTGCCGCCTGGAGTCTTTGTGGTGAGTGCAGGAAGCCTGCGTCCTGAGCCTGGCAACCAGGAGCCTGAGGCTTAGCTGGGGTGGGAGGGGTGCTGGCCCACCCTGGACCTCCGAGCTGTCCTCACAGGGTGAAGTCCTGCGGCCTCACGGATGCCTGCTGCCAGGACTTCAGCACGATGCTGGCCCAGAACAGGCGTCTCCAGGAGCTACAACTGAGCAACAACAAGCTGGGGGACTTGGGCGTACAGCTGCTCTGCCAGGGCCTGGGCCAGCCGGGGACCACGCTGCGGGCGCTCTGGTGGGTGTCTTCATGCCCTGCCGGGCCCCCCATGCTGCTCTGAGGTGACTTGTAGTTGCACAGCCCTAGTACTTTCCTTGGCGGAGGAGTGGTTGCTCACAGGCGTGGATGGCGCATGTCCGTGCCTCCTTTCTTGGCAACCTCCCTCTGGCACACATGCGACCTGCTCTGGGAATGCTGTGCTTCCCCCGTGGCCGGCTTTCTCTCACTAGCAGTTCCCTAAGAGAGGGCTGGGTAAGGCAGGTCTCCTCTAATTGTGTGCGGAATGGCTGCTTCTCTGTCCACTGGTTCTGGAGCTCTGTGCTCTTTGCCCTGATGTGGCTTTTTTCCTTTACTGAGCCAGACATCTGGTGAGTCTTAGAAGCAGGGTTTCTTCGCTGACTTTTCTCCTCCTCTCTGGAGCTGCCGGCACTTTCACTAGGTCTTACTCATTATTTTTTTCTCTCTCATTTTATTTCTTTGAGTGTTTGTTCTGACATCTTGGAGATCTTTTTAACTGCATCTTCCAACCTTCTTGCTCGCTGAGTCCGTCCTGTTCTGTGTAAGAGTAGCTTTTACTCCTTCCTGGTCTGTGATTGTCACTGGAGACTTGGATACCTGGTCATCCTTTGGCAGGGAAGGGTGCTAGGAAGCCCTGTGGCTTCCAGAGAGGAGCCCCCCCCCCCCCGCCCCAGGCTTGGGGGTATCATTCAGACTGCCAGGTGGTGAACAGGCGCTGGTCCTGGTCATGGTGTATATTTGACTTTGTTCAAAGCCTGGAGTGCATACTCTCCAAGGAGTGACCTTGCCTTCGCTCAGAGGGGACGAGTCACACGGGCTGTCAGGGACATGTCCTTTTACTCTAACTTGGAAGGACCTGGCAGTGTCCCTTCGCTGCCCAGTCTGAACTGGCTGGACCCCGGCAGCCCGGCAGCCCCACTGTTGGAACCCAGCAAGGCCGGGGGCTACTCCCCTTCTTGTCAGGGGTGGGTGCGGCCTCCAGTCTTCCCTGTCCTTTGGTCTTTCTCATGAACCTAGAAACTTTTGTCCATCTGCCATGTGCCCTCTGGCCACGCCCCTCCTAGCTAGACATCCCATTGGTGGCTGAGTTCCTAACCGCCCCGCTGGACTCCCAGCACGAGGTTGGTGGGAAGCACTTTCCAAGTCTGTTAGATCCTTGTGGTTGCTGAGACAGATCACAAGTCTGGGAGCTTTAGAGACATAGTTCAAGGTCAGAAGCCCAAAATCAAGGTGTTGACAGGGCCTCAGTCCCTCTTTACCTGTCCGTAGTTTCTAGTGGTTCCCTCACTGCTCTGTTTCCTGTCTGTACAGTATCTGTGTGGGTCAGGTTCTCTTCATGTAAGGTTTCTTCTGATTGGATTTATTTAGGGCCAGCCTTCTCATTTCAAGCTCCTGAACTGAACACATTCTCAAAGACCCTTCTTCATTCATTACAAGGTGACCCTGATGTCTCAGGGGCCATTACAGTCAGCCAACTACAATTCACTCTCTGGCCCTTGAAGACTCACGTCTATCCACTATGCAAAATAGATTCACCCCTTCCTTCCCAACATACCCCAGGTCTCAACCTACTAGAACTTTCAGTTCGAGCCCAGAATCTCGTCGTCTAGATGTTGGCTCAAAACGTCACCACCCACGTCAGTCATGAATGAGACTCTGTGAGACTAGAGAATAGGTCATCTGCTCCCAAAATACAGTGGTGGGCTTAAGAGAAGAGTTACAGACATTCCTATGCTGAATGGGATCATTCGCTAGTCCCAAGCACTTTCTAAATCAGTAGGTTTCAAGGCTTGGATGCTTTGTCCTCTGGGACCAAAGCTCTGGCCTTGGAGTGACCGCCCTTACTGAAGGTTAGCACAATTTGCAGTGTAGTTTTTTTTAGCCAGTTTCCTACTTGTAAAATTTGAGGAGTCTAATAGTCTTCAGTCATTCTGTTTCTGCTGTATAAACTTATCAAAACCTTGTGGGTCTCCTGGGGCGAGCCTGAGGAGTCATACCATCTGACAGGTGGCCTCTCGCAGGGTGACCTCGAGTTCCGGCAGCTGCTGTGTCCGTCACACACCTGATGACTTCAGCAGAGGTGTGCAGCCGCACGCTTGGCCATCTCTCCAGAGCAAGCTTTCTGGATCGTGAATCTCTGAATTTTAGCAGCATTTACCATCTCAACAAGCCATTCCCCGATCATCAAATGCAGGTTCCTAAGGAGCTCTGGTAGCGTAGTGGTTACAAATCGGGCTGCTAATCTATCGGTCAGCAGTTCGAAACTACCAACTGCTCCGCGGGAGAAAGATGATGAGGCTTTCTGCTCCCGTAAAGATTTACAGTCTAGGACACCCTGTGCAGGGTCACCATGAGTCGGAACCGACTCCACGGCACATTACCAACAATATCAGCTTAACAGTTCTTTTTCAATCTACCTTTTCTGTCTTGCTTTTAACTATATAAGCAGCTAGTTCGAGAAACCGTGCTGTACCTTCAGCACATTGTTTGGAAATGTCATCAACTATAAATAACCAAGTTCACTGCCAGTAACTTCTAGGCAGCTGTAGGGCTAAATTCAAGCTTTCTGCCACTTTATAACAAGGCTCACCTCTTCTTGTTCCGTATTTCCTCTAGAGCTAAGACCTTTAATGTTCTTATTATGACCACGTGGAATCCTGGTGTGGTGCTGTGGGCTAATGCGCTGGACTGCAAAGTCTGCTTGAACCACAAGGTTGCTGGTTCAAGCTCACCAGCCGCTCCTCGGAAACCCTAAAGGTCGAACGAACTGACTCAGTGGCACCAAATGACAACATACGTGCCCTCCCAACGGCGCAGGCTGTGTCTGCCATGCTTCTCGCTCCAGGCAGTCTAAGTTCATTCTCTCGTGGTCTAAAGCTCCGGCAGCTGCTACCAATTATCCACTCGGAAGCTCCTTCCACATCTAAGTGTGGGGGTCTGAGACCCTCTGGAATCCGTGCCCCCCTCACCAGCACTCCTTCCCCAGAAAGGCACGCTGGTGATAGACCTTTCTCTGGTGGTAGACCTCAGTCAGAGGAAACCCGGGCGCATCCAGGACACCTCATCTTGGGCAGGTGCCCAGCTAAGGAAAACTCTTGCCTTCCCCATCTTGGGTGGGATGTCAGTCGGTCCTGGGGGCAGCAGACTGTCTGCCCTGCATGGCCAGGGACACGCACACAAGGGACACTTGAATCCTATGTGTGGGTGGGAAGGGAGGCCCAGGACACTAAGCCAGCTCAGGGTAGAGACAGGCCTGTCTTGACCTTGACCTCTGACCTGCTCTCCTGCCTAGGCTGGGCGACTGTGAGGTGACAGACAGCGGCTGCACCACCCTCGCCTCGCTCTTGCTCTCCAATCACAGTCTGCGTGAGCTGGACCTCAGCAACAACTGCATGGGTGACCCAGGGGTCCTACAGCTGGCCGAGAGCATCCGGCAGCCGGGCTGTGCCCTGGAGCAGCTGATGTGAGTGTGTGTAGGGGGGACAATGGGCAGGAATGGGAGGGTGGGTGGCACCGAGGCCCCGGCCCACACCTGCCTTCTGTACAGCCTGTATGACATCTACATCAGCGAGGAGGTGGATGACCACCTGAAGGCCCTGGAGGACAGCAAGCCCACACTGAGGATCATCTCCTGAGGAGGAGCTTTGGCCTCGACCGCCCGCTGCTGCCAGCCACAGCGCTGTGCCTGGGTGCCCTTTGTCACTTTGTGGTCAGCTTAGGTCTGTGGGATCGATAACCTTAGAGACTGTATACTAATTAAAGCCTTTCTTAGCAGGAGCCCAGTCCTTCCTGTGGCCTCATGGGGCCCCGTAAAGCTTAGCGAGGTACTGTGTTGGGACAGCTGTGTCCCCTGCTCAGGTCTCAGGCCGGTGTGGTCACCATGGTCACTTTGGTCCTTAGCCCTTGGCTCCTGTAGACCACCCACCTGCCACAGGCTTTGACAGATTCCAGGCCTCAGCATGACCAGGTCCACCTGTGTCCTGTCAGGAGCCAGTGGTGGGCCTGCCTCCACCTGGGCATCCAGTGGGTGCCTCACGCTCCAGCTCAGCCTGTGGGTGGTGGGTGCACACGCTCCGGGGACAGTGTGTCTCTGATGCCCATGAAGGTGGCGCAGTGCCCTGACCTGGCCCATCCTGGGCAGAAGGCACCCTGCCACTCCAGGGGAGCCTGGGACTCGCCCTCAGTTCTCAGCATGCCCTTCCTGAGCCCTGCTCCTTAGAGTAAGGCAGATTCTTTGTCAGTACCAAGAACTCACTCGGGGGCTAGGGAGTGGCCATCTGACAGCCAGCACAGTGTCCAGCAGAGAGACCAATGCCCCCCCCCCCCCCCCGCTGATAGCAGTCCTCCCAGGGGCATGTCTGCAGGCAGGATCTGGACCACCGGGCACTGAGGGCCTCGGCCACTGCACAGCCTGTCACGGGGCAGCAGCCGCACTTCTGCAGGGGAACGTCATCGAGCCCGCTGAGCCCAGGGTGTCACGGGTGAGAGCCACAGGAAAGGAGCAAGACAGGCCGGGACAGCCAGGACACAGAGGCTGTGCTGTGCTGGGGCCATGGTGGGAGGAGACTGGGGTCTGTGTCCACTGGCCAGGAAGGGCAGCTTGACAGGTGTGGGAAGGGATTGTGTTCACCACCTTTCTGTCACAACAAGGGACCCCACCAGACCTGCTGACTGGGGGTGGGTGCAGGGCTTCATGGTGGTTCTTGTCTCGAGGGGTCCACCTTGAAGCTTGGGGATACCAGCTGTGAAGCTTGACTGTCCCCCAGGAACCCACCCCCCCCATGGTCCACAGCCCAGCCTCCACCACGGCTATCACAACCCATCACCCATGGAAACTGTAGAGCTGCCCACACTCCGTGCCCAGCTGCCCTAGGAGCAGAATCCGCTCCTCCCCTTGCCCTCTTGAAGGGGGATGGCAATTTAGCCTCTGGTCCTACCAGTGGCCCTGGCTGGATGTCCTGAGGTACTGGGCACAGACGTAATCACAGCCACTTTATTTGTTCTCTGCTCGTGGGGTAGCGGCTGTCCCACTCAGTCTGCTCGGATCCCCACGGTGCTGCCAGGGTCAGGGCCTCAGGACCAGCATGGCAGCGTCCAGGGCCCCCGATCAGTTGATGGGACGAGGACAGAGGAGTGGAGGCCCAGGAGCAGGGATGCAGGGGGGACGTGGGTTGGGTCCCACCAGCTGGCTCTCCGGAGTGTCAGGAACAGAGGACACAGACCTACACACGCGCACACACACCTGTGCACACAGTCCAAGCTCCAGGTGGGGGGCCTCCCTCCCTGCACCTCTGAGTGCTGATCCATCCGCTGGGAGAGAAAGGACTGGCGCCCTGGGGCAGTCAGTTCGGAGCTTCCTCCTCCTCCTCCCTGTTGTCCGGCCCCTGCGAGTGTCCATCTCCGTTGCTGACAGTGCTGTCCTTGTCCTCCTGGCTCTCCTGCTTCTGCCTCCGGATCTCTTTGTATCGCAGAGTGATGTCCCTGGATGGTGGGGAGGGCAGTGTCACATAGAAGACAAAGGCTCCTCCGTCGTCGGCACTAGGGGAGGGGAGGGCGCTGGAGTATGGGGGACAGTGGAGAGGAGAATCGGCCCGCTGGCTGGCGCTCACCTCAGGAAGAAGCGCCACACTGTCCAGGTGAGCGCCAGCACGGAGCCCAGCGTCCAGCACTGGGAGATGTAGAAGGGCAGCGACAGGGTGAGCGTGTGCGGGTCGTACTTTACCACGATCAGCAGCTCCGTGACGGTGATGGCGGCCACCAACCAAGCCTGCTGGCCCAGCTTCTTGTGAAACCTCCTGCGGGGGGGCGGGAATGGTGGGATCCCGGGTTGAACCACACGCCCACGGTCTGGAGGGGGTGTGCGCCCAGACCCCCACTCACGGGTCATCCATGAAGTCGTAGATCTCGCGCATAGCCACGCCACCGACGTTCACGAAGAAGACGAGCCGGAGGAGGACCAGGCAGTGCTCTGGGGGCATCCATAGCACAAACTTCAGGTAGAACGTGTTCAGTTCTGCCAATAGAAACTGGGGGCGGGCCTCGGTGAGGCGGGGCGGGGCGGTGGGCGGGGCTGCGCACAGCACAGGGTGGGGTGGGGCGGAACAGGCGGGGCCTCACCACCAGGATGATGCCGCACACGGCCAGCCAGCGGCGCAGGCTGGAGGCGGGTTTCCACTCGAAGCGGACCCAGCTGTAGGGTGTGAACTGAAAGGCGATTCTCTTCATCTTGCCCCTGGAGACGGAGGGGCACCTATGAGGCACCCCCGACTCTGGGCAGAGCACATGTCTTCCTCCCACCTCTGCCGGTCTGACCCCCAGCCCCATGAACACGACTTGGGCGGGGTGGAGACTGGGCCTCAGTTTCCAACCTTGTCCCACTGAGGTCGGGAGGGGGCACCCCAAAACGTACTTGTAGGTCGGAATATTCCACAGGCCCTGCCACTTGTAGGTCTTCAGGGACAGCCACTCAAGGGTCTTCATGCCGCAGTAGATGCCCAGCCCATTGCAGACAAGCACATCCATGATCCACTGAGGGCGGCGGAGGGGGCCGGGGGAAGGGGCATGAAGTCTCATGCTGCTCCGCCTGACTGAGACCCCCAGAAAGCATGCCCTGCCCCTCCACCCCTTAGGTACCGACCAGGCCGCTGACCTACCGCACAGGTGGGGTGTGGGGGAGATACCCCAGTGCGGGCGGCGGCCTCCGCAGCCCCGCATGCGCAGTCCCGGGATACCTACGTGGTCCCACCAGCATTCGCTGAAGTTGGGCAGCTGGTGCTCCAGGCTGTATTCCAGAAACTCGAACATGACGCTGACAATCATGCACATCCACCAGTCCCGGATCATCAGGGTCTAGGGGTGCAGGAGGGCCCCGACAGCTCAGGCGAAACCCCCCAACCCCAAGGGCACAGGCGGTGAACCCCCCCACCCCCCGGGGAGCCAGTGTACCTTCAGGTACCAGCCGAGGAAATGTGCGGGAACAAAGCCGTCCAGCTTGTCCTGGGGGCAACAGTGTACCCTGTGAGTCCCCCACCTCACCCCACCCCACCGCCATAACCCTGGGTCTGCGGGCAGGGGCAGCCCCCGCTTCTCACCCAGACGTTGTGAAAGGGGTCAGTCTCGTTGTCTGAGTCGTAGATGAGGCAGTTCCCTCCATAGTCCCTCTCGGGCAGTGGGACCCCCAGCTTGGGGTCGATGTACTTGAGAAACTGCCGGCCATCATGGACTGTCTGGAGAGGGGCACAGCCTTGCTCCATCAGAGCACTGCCATGTCGGTGTAAAGGTCCTATGGCAGTGACCCTAAATCTGGGGTCAAATGGCAGCCCTGCTCCGCCCACCCACCCACCCACCCCATACATCACCACCCCAGCCCCTGGAGAGCCCCTACATGTGGCCCTGGGGCCCACCCACCCACCCACCCCATACATCACCACCCCAGCCCCTGGAGAGCCCCTACATGTGGCCCTGGGGGGCTCTTAGCTCTTGGGGAGGAGAGACAGACTCAGACCCATGGAGTAACCTGCACCCTACTTTTCAAGTGCACAAATGTGACCACATTCGAGTCTGAAATAAACCTGGTCACACCAAAGTGAGCTGAAACCCTAAAGGAATACATCTAATGGCATTAGACGGGAAAAGAAAATGAACACAGTGATGCACCAGGTAAATAAATCTCCAAACACTTGGAAACGACACAGTACATTTCTAAATAATTCATGGGTCCCTGAAGTGTTTGCAAAAGAAACCTGAAAACATTTTGAACTCAACACCAACAACAACACAGGAAAATTTCAGTGCCATAGCTAACACATTCCTCCCAGGAAATTTATAGCAGGAAATGTATACATTAAAAAAGAGAAAAGTCTCCAATTAATCATGTAAGTGTACACCTTAAAAAACTAGAAAGCATGCGGAAGAGCGGGAGCTGACCGAAAATGAGACCGCTAGTCTGGCCTGGTGGCGCAGAGGGGCAAAGTGTGAAGAGAACTGAGGACGCTTGTAATCCGTTAGTTCAATGGACCGGGTTGCCACTATCAACTGGTCTAAAAAGGGATGACATTTGATGATCCTGGAAAAAGCGGGAGAAAAGGTGGAACAAACCCCAAAATTATAAAAAATAAAGCCCAGGCTTACTAATAAGAAAGACATTGGAGGGCCCTGAGACTACGGCCCTTGGCCACTCTTCAGGTCTGCTAGTAAACTTTTCCTTGTGGCCCAATTTCAGCCACGCTTCAGTAAGTCTGAATTCTATCTTTGGAGAGATAGAAATCAAAATTACAAAGAGATACCACCTCACCTCTACTCTGTTGCTGTGAAGTGCCGTCGAGTCAGTTCTGACCCATAGCGACCCTGTATAGGGTTTCTGAGGAGCAGCTGGTGAGCTTGAACCGCCGATCTTGCAGTTCAAACGGTTTTACAGTCTGGCGCATTTAACCCACAGCGCCACCCCAGGACTCCTCCTAGAATGGTATTAACACCAATGTTCACGGAAGCACTTTTCACAATAGACCAAACAACCAAAATGTCCATCAAGGACAGAGTAAGAACATGTAGTCCACCCTGACAGTGGCCTAGTACTCAGCCAGCAAGAGAAAGGAGGTCCTGATGTACGGCACTACACGACCGAACTCTGGAACCA